TCCCTAACGTTCTGTGATTCTGTGATATTTTGGCATCTTAGAAAGGGAGTAAAAAAACTATTTCATGCTGCTTGGTTTCCTTGATTTTCTTTTTGAGTTGTGCCTCCCCTTTTTAGTACTTTTCTTACTGTTGCTATCTCCCTCAAACCGTCTTCCTCCAGCATTCCCATATATGCAGATCTACGTACCACCGCTGTGCCGCCTTTCTAGCATCCACCTCTACCTTCTCTCCCGCTCTGCTGAGATCTTGGAAAGCTTCACGTTGTCTTGGGTAGGCACCATGTTTCCAGATCCCAGCCTGTGCCGAGTGCTTCTGCTGCCTGTTCGCGTCCTGCCCTGAAGAAGTCCAACCTTACCAATTTGCAGACAACACGCAAGCTGTTTCCACACCGACCACATGTGCTCTTTTTAGTTTCTAGATAGTTTGCCTTCCTGAGACAGATTTTATTCCATTCCTCCTACAGGGTTTGCAGCCCTTAAATCCTTTCGCGTGTTGGTACAAAAGCTGTCTGTACCTTCTGCTATCTGCTGTGGCAGCCCTTTGGTTCTGCTGTGTCAGCCATAGCTCCTCAGTCTCTCTCGTATCTACCTCTTCAGTCCTCTTACCTTCTACCTGCTAAATTATTTAACTTAGAAATCGTGTTAACCATACGTGTGATTAACAAATCTAGTTTTGTGAAATGTTTCGAGATATAGCTTGAGTAGAAGTTTCAGTGCAAAGCACAAAGTGTTGCAAATAATAAGCTGGAAAAGGCTAAATTTGCCCAGGAGGATTCCCAGAGAATGGCAGCAAACGCAGGTTTGATTTCACTTGTAAAAGCAGAAATGGCCTGTGTTAAAAACCAGCAGACAGTGTTATACAGACCAGGGCTGAAGACACTGGGTTCTAATGGCTTGTTTAACTGAAGATAGCGACGAACAGCGGGGTGATTGAAAAGCACTTGTTTCAGTTTGTAAGTATTGTCGGCAGAGTTAAACAGCTGGTTTCTCTGTAACAGCTTCTCAGTTGCAATTACAAAATATTGCAAGCTCTTGAAGTGGAGTTTATATGAAAATACCAAATAAAGCTTCCATTTGAACAATCTGTTTTGCCGTGGTTCATCTATTCAAGGCTTTTAGGACAACCTGAGAGATTTCTGGGCACATGTCCTGTTAAAAATGGAGCCCAGGGTAAATATAAACCAAAATAGGTATGTAAATATGGAAATATTTCTTAAAATAAATATGTTTTACTTTGTGGTCGCCAGTGTAATGTCTGGGTGCGTTCCAGTAGTGCCTTAAGCAGTCAATGGAAATTGTCTTATTGTGTGCATCAACTATGAGTTAACAGATGACCTGGGTTAAAATTATAATTTTAAAATTCTTCACAGAGGTCAGGTAAGGTTTGCTATAGTTACTACTTAGTAACATTTAGAATAGAGCTGAATACATAAACTTGCTGATGGTAACAGATTGGATGCAGTAGTCTTCGTATTTGTGGGTCTTAAGAATGACGAGCAATGCCCTGAGAGTTAAATATACACACTTTAAAAGGTGGGGAATGCATGTAAATTATTTCATAAAATTTACTGAAAAAAAATCTGTCAATGTGACCTTTTGGCAACTTTTTTCACAAAGTGGAAAAATACTCTTCAGCTGTACTAAGCAGCTAGAAAAAATAAGGTATGACCCAAGCAAACAATTCTGCCAGACCAGGAAATACATTTCATTGCTAACAGTGTTTGGTTATTTCTTCCTTTTAGCTAAAAGAGAACAAGCAGCTTGCTGCTTCAAGTGAATGCAGTCATTTGTCATTCCAGGATTTTTGAGACATTCCCTTGTGGATTCTGTTGATGATTAAATGAAAGTAATCAAGGTAAGGTACCTTGTGTGGGAGAAAGCATTGCTTCATATAATGCTCTTAATGAGGAGAAGCAAATATACCTGGTTTTAGGAAAACCGCGCTACAGGCAAGGACCTCCTGTATAAGGGGGTCTGCTCTGTGTCAAATTCTGTGTCATAACTGAGCGTAGCCATATTTTGCTGTCTCATATACAGGTAGGAGCGATTGCTGGATGGGCTTTGTAAATCAAGGGTCCTTCAGAGGGCCCTGGAACAGGCTGGGAGAAAGCATTGGTTGGGGCAATCCCAAGCACAAACACAGTCCAGGATGCCCCCTTCCTGGAAGTGTTCAAGGCCAGGTTGGACAGGGCTTTGGGCAGCCAGGTCTGGTGGAGGTGTCCCTGCCCACGGCAGGGGGGTTGGACCAGATGAGCTTTAAAGGTCTCTTCCAACTCAAACCGTTCTGTGATTTAGCTGCTAAATTTCCATGTCTGCAACTGGTGACATCTAAAATTAAGAGGAGCTAGCTGCCTGCTGCTTTCCCCTTTCTTATCACTCTGCACAAACTACCAACAACAAATAAAGGCTGCAGATAATTAATTAACCTTGTTGCAAACATCCCTAAGGTCCTGCAGTGAAAACATGACCCATCTTTCTTGCAGTAATGTAAGTGAAGTTCATTTTTTAAGTGTTTCAGTAATTTTTCATAGTGAAGAACTTAATAGGCATTAACTAATCCAAGAAGTGCAATCTGCTAATTTAAAACACATACTTTGTAAGAAATGTCTAAGATCGTTCAAGATATATAATTAATAAAAGAAATTGGTTTGCATCCTGAAAGTGAACATGGTAACTGGATAACCATGTTCACTGGATACTCTCCTATTGCAGCTGATCATGTTAGTTATTGCCAGTCTGCCAGCACTGCGTAAGTATAAGCGGAGCTGCTATGTTCCTGGAGGCCTTTTCTGAACTGCTTACTGCAAGAAGTCAAAGTTCAAGTGTGCAGATGACTCTTAAATTGCATGGCAATGTTTCCTCACTGAGCTACACATTTTAAAAAAAAGAACCAAACAAAAAAACCCCAACCAAAAGCCTTTGTAATTAAAGTGTTGGAAGCAAGTCAGAAAATGTCAAAGCTTGCTGATAAGAATGGGCAAACACAGAAAAGAATCGAAAAATAATTCCAGAACTGAAAAACTGAGTATAGTTTTCCTGCTTGCTTTCTGGTACTTCTGCCTTTCTTGATGTAGCTGAATAAAGTTAAAACTGCTGTTTGTTATTGATACTGTCGTAATAACCTGGGGAGAGCAGGATAAAAAGAGAACACCATGATCTGGCAAATCAACCCAGTTCAGCAGAGCACATCCATATTTTTGTGTAACGTTACATGTGTGCATTCCTGCATCGCTGCGTATCAAAACCAACTGCACAACATGCGCTTCACTGAAAACATCAACGCGAGTCCTACAAAAGCCAAGCTGCTCTATAGATGATATCTGGATCACCCTCAGGGGACAGGCACACGTTCCCAAAGACATCAAGGCAGAAACTGAATTCCAGAGCTACCTGATCTGCTAAAATGCAGGCTAAAATGCCAAGAAGCAGGGAGCTGCCCATTATCACTGCTGAACTCCTTCCAGAATCTCATCAACCTAATTTGAAACAGGAACATGTGCGTTTACACTCCATGGCAGCACGTGGTCCTGACCCGCCCTAAGCTGACCCAGGAATGGCTGGAAGAAAGCTGGCGAGCTTCTCTCACTTAAGATTTTGGCCTCTTGCCTGGGATTGCTCCCTTTGCTTTTGTATACTCACTCTAAAAAAATAAAGCACTGTAATACAGAGTGATTTTTAAGGGACCAAATCAATGGATAAAAATAAGTAGTATTCATGAGGCCAGATTCTAGACTATGTTAGGGGAGCTTAGGTTCTTTCACCTGGAGAGGGACACTTTCCACACCCAAACCAAAATGTGCACTGTGTGGCATTTCTTCTGCTCCATCACCACGACTCTGTATCTTTGCAGCTGTAATATTGTCAAGGACCAGCTCAACAAAGCCTTGCTGCCAAGACAGAAGGTATGTGCTGTCACTAATTCAACCCATTTGCACCACAATATAGAAAAAGTAGTATCACACACTGAAAAACAGAGGCATAGATTTTAATCAATCCATCGTCCAATAAACGCATCTGTTTTATTTTGGTACCAAACATGTTTCTGCTTTAGCTCCACGCAAGGTCTTCAGCAGCCTCCTTCTAATCTCTGTAAATTTTCCAGGTACTCGGTGACAGCCTCAATCTCTGCGAACTCCAGTAGTCTGTTGATTAACTTATCCAGTGCTTCTTTCCCACTTAGGATTTCCTATGAGAAAAATAACAGGCAGAAGCATCACTGAGCGTACAGCGGTGTTATTCTGAAATACTGACTACCCAGAGAGGGAGCTCCTGGAATGCTCCACTTTGCCTGGGGTCTGGTCGGTGCATCCACTCTCTCGCCTTTGTGGCTCCCTGTGTGAACGTAACGCGGTGTGGTGCACAGCAGCGACTTCTGCTGCTCCTGTGAAAAGGACATCGCTTCTGGCAGCAACCAAAGGAGCCACTGGTGCCTTCCTGAGTGCTTTCACGTAATCCAAGCATTTACAGGAAAATCCCCTAGTAAGAACCACCAAGGACTGAAGGCTCTAATTCAAATACTGCTGCTCATGTCAAGAACTGGTTTGTTTTGCAAGTGAAGCTTAACTGACTTTGTCAGGCTGTTCATGGTTTCAGTTTCACTCCAGGAAAGTAACGAGCTCCAACAGTAAACAACTGAAAAGCTTGACTAACAAAAGTCATTTTTATACAGCCATGGAGCTTCTTCCCATCCTCTGTCACTCTGCTATTTGTGTAACTATTCCCCACTCCACTAAATATGAACCATTCCACACTCAGCATGCCCTGTCTTCTTTGAGGTTACCCAGGACATCTGTACAGTTCGAAAAGTGCTGCTTCTCATGCAGCAGCACTTACAGTAAACTGGGTACCTAAGACCCCTAGTGAAGGGTCACCCTAAATTTTGTCCTAAAATTCAAAGCATTTTTCATAAATTTAATGCACAAAAATCCATTTTCCCTGTAAGAAAACCCAACAAATAAATAAGATTCAAGCCATATGTAGAGATTCACTCAGAAATAAAATATCAGGTAGTCTTAAAATGAAAGCACCCCGTTTCAGTTTCTTACAACTGTGGCTTGTAAGGCAAACTAAAGAAATGTTTTTCTTCACTCCAGCATTAAGGGGTGAAGGAAGGACTTGGCCTAACTAAAAAAAAGTCCTTCTTGACAGCTTTTTCTTTTGGCTGTAGTAAGCTTCACAAATCCGAAATTTCACTTGTCCAGTTTGGCCAAGGGACTCACAGAGTTCTCAAATGAGGACTACGCTCTTGATAATTTCTCACTTATATAGTAGGAGAAAAATACACAGAGAAGCAGGCCAGTCAGTTATGGCCTATGCCAGTCATCTTTAACACTACTCTACAACACAGCAGAAAAGGAAGTTTTAACTCTAAATCTACAACATTCTGTCAGAGCACAACTGGCTTTCTGATATCCTCATATATTGTTTTCACCAAGTTTATTTTTTCTTCTTATGGCACACAGAAGTATCTAACTTTAAAAACTCTCAAAAGCAACCATTACCTTGATGTTGCGTGCATCATAGGAGATCCTGTGGTCAGTGACTCTGTCCTGGGTGAAGTTGTAAGTACGAATTCTCTCTGCCTGGGCTCTCGTTCCTAACTGTAGTGAAGCAGCAAAAAAACAAATTCTACTACATTATGTTTTTAAAAAAATCAAATATGACTCTAAAATATAAAAAACTTCAATGGATCAGCCTGTTGCACCTACAAACCAGTCACTGGCTTCTCATACGGGGTTTTTATAATAACGTGGCATTACTGAACTGTATTATTCTCTATCCCAGTCCAAGTTTTAACATCCTCCAGCACACTACTTTCCCACCTCTGTAGCTGGAAGAATTACGACTCTTAAAAGTCCTGTAAGGCAAGAGATATGTCTATACATGTCCTTAGTTCAAAAATATGACTGCTTTTCTTTCTCAGGGGGTTGTAGCTCCCACGAAAAATAATGAGAGTAGGAACCAGTAATAACAGAAGCAACACAGAAAACGTGTGGCAAAGCAGATCCACTGATGTCTGGCTGTCCGAAAGAAATCAGGAATACGAAGAGCAGTCCTCTAGTGGTGAAGTGCAAGAGTGCAAGCAGTTCTAAGTTTTAAAACAGAACTCCCAATGTCGCATTGTGGTTTAAGTCTGTATTAAAATGGAGAATTAAATGCTAAAAACTGCTTAGAGAAATAGGTGTCTGCTTCAATGGACCTTTTTTGAAAATTTCATCTGCACCCAACATGAACATTTCAAAACAAGGAATTTACTGAATAAATTCTGAAGCATTAGGAAAGGTAATCTACTTGTGTCTGATTTTTGGTAGTATTCATATAAATGTACATCTAAGTCCTTTACGTAGCTTTGCAGGCTCTCACGCTAAAATCAAAGATAAAAGATAAATGGCTCGCTGCTTACAATGACTGAGTTAATAATCTGCAGGAACAACACACTTAGATGCAACCTGAAATTAGTGCTTAAGTAGCTAAGCTGGAAACTTTAGAGTACTGAATAATTGTGTAAATATGAAGTGTTTTTATTCCTGTCGATCACTGCTGAAGTTTGCACCACAAATGGCAAAATACTCAAAGAACAGAAAAAGAATGACAGCGTATTTCAAGGGAAAAGCACACTTTGCAGCATAACTTGAGGTAACTCACTTATGGAAGCTGCTTCTTCCTTAAAGTGTTACCTAAACCGTAGCAAATGAACTGTTACCTAACTGCAAAGTGGCAAGATTGTTCACACACTTGTTTCTTTCAAAAGCTCTGTATGTTCTTATCAACTACTCTGGTTTAGAAACAGGTTGGAGAACTTCTGATCCTAGTTTTGATTGAAAATATCTTTTAACCGACACTATTTGTCTAACTCTCGCCTTAATGCAGGGATTCAGCACCTGATGTTGAGTGTTGCCTTTTGGGTAATTCCAGCTGCTCTTTTGACTCTTTTCTTTCCAGCTACAGTTGATGTCCCTTTTTCATTGCTGAGAAGTCTACACTAGCACTGAACTGGGATAAGTAAAAAACAGACTTACCATCCTAAAGCAGACTTACCAGCTTAATATACAAGATTCTCCTTTGTAAGCACACCTGGTTAGACACACACACGCTCACTTGCTCTGTCACTCGGACCAGAAACAAAGCTGCAGCACAGCACCCTCCCCAGTTTCAGCACTCGCACGCTCTCACCTGCAGTTTTCGGGCGTTCTGCTCTTGACTCAGCTGTTTTTCAATGATCTGCTGGTACAGCTTCGCTCGCAGCGTCCGCAGAGCGATGTCCTTGTTCAGCTGCTGCGATCGCTCCTGCTGGCACTCCACCGCCAGTCCTTTACAGAGGGGTTCAAGAGAGCGCAGAGCAAAAGCCCATTATAACAAAGCACAATCAAGCTACATTAATTCTAACACATTGGGCAAATGAAACCTTCCAGAGCTGGCTTGTAGGGCAAACACACTGGTCAGAACCATCAGTCTGCTTTTAAACTCTTCACAGCTGCACCAGGGGTTTTGCTCAGTGCTACAGAAAAGTCAAGGATATTTTAAAAATTCATGAAGCAAACGAGGTTCTGATATTGCCTTCAGAAAAACAGGTTCACTCTAATTAGCTGTCACTTGTTAAAAATGTAATTTGCACAGCCTATAAAAGCATGTTTAAAACAGTGCAATACAAGTTTCTAAAATCTTGGTCTAGATAACCTCTTGGAAACCGGATAATTCATTATTCTAACAGAAAATGGTGTCTAAACAATACTGGAGAGTCTTGAACTTAATTATGAATAATGAAATAAGGTGAAATAAAGCTCTTGAAAAGAATTTCAGTACTTATTTTTACTTCTCATTTGATTTCTGAAATAAAAAGGCATATAGGAAACAGCTGTTTTCAAGTCACCACTGGAATTTCCCGTGCCTAAAGCGATGCTGCATCTGGACAGATAGAAGCCCACTGAATGTCAATAAAAACAAATCCTGAGAAAGAGAGAGCAGTCCAGTATAGACACTACCTTCCCATCAGTACACATTTTCCTTCCTATTCAACGTGTGACAGCATTTTCTAGTACTGAATGAAAACCTTCAGGTCTCCTTTCTCAGGCTTATAACTACACAGGTTCCAGCAGGGCAAAGTGCACCCTCAGCTGCCAGTGGCCATTATTCCTGAGGGCACAGAGCACACAGCATAAATTATCTACATCTTCCATCCCATCCCATCCCTGTCAGCCTCCATTTGTTCTTTCATCCTTCAAAGGCCGTGTGTTCATCAAGCACTCCCTCTGAAGACAAAACTGGCATCATAGCAACTTGCTGACCATTGTGCCACTGGTACAGAGCCCTCTTCTGCTCTGCCTTGCTGAAAGAGGGGCAGAACAAGAAGAGGCCACTTCCTTTTTTTGGTATAAGGCCCAACACTTCAAACTCTTGAGAGACAACTTGCAGGATCAGAAGCTTTCTCTTCAGGACACAGATCCAGGGTCACTACAAGTATGAAATACAGCCAGGCTTACCTGTGGGAAGGTGGACAATTCTCACAGCACTGTCAGTTTTGTTAACGTGTTGCCCTCCCGCTCCTTTGGCCCTGAATGTATCGATACGCAGATCTTTGGGATCCACTTTAACGTCAACCTAGAATCAAAGAAAATCACTACTTTCTGCTCATTCTAGAAATATTTTGACTGTCAGTAACACTTGGTGTCAAAAAAATCACCTCTCAAAAAGCTGCTCCCTTACAACGGTTCCTGAGTAACAGCTATAATTATTATACTTTTAAAAAATGCAATGTCAAATACCTCTGCAAAGCAAGTGATGCTTTAAATATTTCACTTATTTTTTCGAACTCTTACTCCAGGTCCTTCCCAAAACAAGGTATGTGTGTGTATGAAACAAAACCAAACCATCAGCTTTTTGTAAAACCCCTTGCTTTGGCAAGGAGACTAAGAAATTACCAAATAATCAAAACCTACTTCTAAACAGCAGTCCACAGATCTTGTCCATGAATCAAACCTGAATGATTCTTGCAACGCTGCTTAAAAACATCTGAGGAAAAAGCATGTGCATTCAGACCCAAGTAAGGATTGCAGCACTGGAAATACAAGTCCATGATGACCTGGATCACAGTTTGAGCTCAGTGGACGGGAAAGGAACATCCAGATCTGATCAATGTTGCAAGGAAAACATTACAGGGAAGCAAGAGAATGAGCAGGGAAAGCCTACAGGATTTGGTTTTATTTATTTTGTGTGTAAACTGCTGGTTTAAGTGAGACCTGTTGGTATCAGCAAGACCAGCCAACACAGCCGCTCATTCAATTCAAAGCAGACTGTCCTTGATTTAACAAAGGACACCAGTAATTTAAATGAAACAAAAAAACTCACAAGGACCTGCATTGCTATGCAACACCGAATATTTTCTTGGACATATTCCTTGTCTCAATACATAGCATAATTTAAAATTGGCAGAGTCATAGCAGTCAGCTCTGTGAGTGCTGGGGCAGGAATACTCACTGAAACGATCATTGATTTACGTGCCATTTCAGGCAACAGCAAATGTCTGCAAAGTTGCTTCTGATGACCCATTTAAACATGTAAGGTGCAGAGCCACGGACTCTGTACTTTCAAAGACTTCCAGAGGCAGGGAACTTGTGGTTCACTTGCTGGGACTGGTACAGAGTTGATCAATAAAATCCCCAAACAGTAACAGTGACATGGTTTTAAACAACACCAACTCCAATGCCAAAATGGGTGAGCAGAGATACCTCCCAATCCCAATTAGCAGTCACTTTACCTCCTCTGGCTGAGGGAGGACAATTACTGACATTGTCCCCGTGTGAATACGCTGCATTCTTGACGACAGGCCCGTCTCAGGGATTCGCTGGACTCGATGAGTCCCTCCTTCATATTTCAGATGCCTGTAGACGTCATTGCCCGAAATATGAGCAGCGGCGTGATGCAACCCACCTAGAGAGACAAGCGATGTGTGACAAATACAGCACAGAAGCACAGCTTTTAATTTCATTGTCTTGGTGCAATGTCTGAAGAATTACTGTACCTATCTCAGCTGGGGTATAGTTCACAACGTCGAAGGTCCAGCGTTTGTAGTCCGCGTAGTTCTGGTACATCTCAAACATTTCTTTAGTGAACTGCTGGCAGATGTCTCCTAAAAATACAAAGGTGCTACAACATAAACAGCAGCTCGCAAAGTGGCAGCCACCACTTTTCAGAGTTAGCTGCAGCTCTTACCACAGCCATTAGAGAGACTGATACCCTGCTTTAGAAAGTATTACTTCATACAGTTAAAGTATAAAAAGGCATTAAGAATAACCCGTAAGAGGTTTAAAAATGTTGGATGGAGGTTTGAAGTAATCTTTACTGTGGGGACTTTGCTGACCTCCAGTTGTTCTGCCAGCTGTCACTTCCAATATGACAGGACTTCTATCATATTTTTCCTTTGGCACTAGAAGCTGGAAAAGCTGAAAAGGAAAAAAAAAAGGAATGTCACTATCGCCTTCATGACTCTGTGTCTCTCCTTAATCGAATTTACAGCCAGCCTTCACAATTGCCACAACTTGAGCACCCACAACCACTGATTTCTTCTGGCAAACTATTAACTAGGATGAAAAACTGCCCAGTAGCCACTGAAACTCAGTGTATTCGGAATGGAAATGGTATATGCTGGTGCAAAGGTAGCTGAAAATTTGATCTTGCAAAGTCAGGTGCCAGGTCAACAACTCCAGCCCCAACTACCTATGAACGCAAAGTTATTAGCTAGAACCCAGCCAATCTTTGCATTAATCTTATTTTTCAGAAAGTCCCATTTCATATTATCTCAATCCAAACACAGAAATGAGCCCAAACATAGAGCTCTCCACTGAATCATTTCAGCTTCTCTGCTCATAATTAATTTCCCTGCTCATGGGGTCCTGTCAGCTGAAGAGACAATGAAAGACCGCAGGTTCCAGTCAGAAATATTTCAGGAACGGATGCTCTGCTGCCACAAGCAGTTACCAGGATGTCACGTCAGGTCTCAATAGCACAGACCCACCGTTTTTTTCAATCCCCTTCAGCATTTGCAGACAGACAAGCAAGCAAGCCAAAATGACCAGAATAATAAGCTGCTAAGACACAACTCAGTAAGAAGCCTACTAATAATTAATGTTGCCACTTCTTTCCAGGGAGAATAGACAAGCTGGACTTCTGTTTCATTAAATGCAAGTGTCAGAAACTACTGGTAGGATCACAAAAGAACATTTTTCTGACAACTTTCTTTCCAAAGCCATATAATTTTACCTCAGGCTCACCTTTCTGCACAATGTGCTGATTTTTCTATCCAAGGTTTCCTTCTCTTCTAAGGCAAGCTCTAGAAGTTGTTTCTCATCTCTGTTGTCCAGCTCTAAATTCCAACAACAGGAACAGATGTTAGCCAGTCTCACCTAGCTGAGACCAAACTGTAATACAGAAGAGAAACTGTAACACAAACACACGCATGGCAGCACATAAAAGCTTGCAAGTGCATTTTGCCAGCATGGAACATCAAATAAGAGCAGCCCAGGCCAGGGTGCATGTTGCTAACTAAATGATGATACTTTTCAGGTGTTCTGGAAGAGGAGCAGATATCTTACCTCTAAATCTCTACCTTATGGCTCAAAGTCTGCATCAAATAGATGCCAATCCCACCTGACAGTTACTCACTCTCAGTGATACTGATGGGTCTGTCACACAGATTGGCAAATCCACAAATGGATTTGACAAAACACGTCAAAAACGTACCTGCAGGCAAGAAGTGCCTCAGTTTCCCTTACTACAGTTTTTCATGCAACAAAATGTTTTGTTTCTAGACTTGCCCAAGAACACCCATTACTCAACAATTTGTAGGCAACCCATTAAGGTGAGCACTACAAATAACAGTACGATGATAATAACGAGGTTTCTAACCTTCTGTCTCTTGCTATTCAAGAGATCACTGAGATGTGGGAGTTATGGATGCAAGTCATGAGGATGTGGGTGACCTTAATTCAATGCTGCTTTGCTTAAGGAGATTGCCTTCCCCTCTCTTCAGCACGTGAGACCGCAGCCTAGAGTACCATGTCCAGGTCTGAGCTTCCCAGTACAAGAAGGGCATGGAAACGCTGGAGTGGGTCTAGTTGAGAACCACCAAGATGGTCAAGGGCTGGAGCAAAGGACGTATGAGAAGGGGCAGAGAAAAATGTGTTTGCTCAGCCTTACAAAAAGCAGAGGGAGGGGAGGTTTTATTGTAGTGTACAACTACCTAACAGAAAGACATCGAAAGATGGAGACAGACTCTGTATATCATGATAAAAGGAGACATAAATTGGAATATGGGAAATTCTGACTAGATATTAGGAAAACTATTTTCACCCTAAGGGTGGTCAGACAGTGGAAGAGGGGCTCAGAGAGGCTGCAGAATCTCTGTTCTTGGATATATTCCAAATTTACCAGCTTTATTTCAATATGGCTTTTACTGCTCTGTCAACATCCCTTGGTGCTCTCTGAATAGCACTGTGAACTTTCATCCTCCGCCATTTATACCACTGCCTACTCACTTCTCCTCTCCGTTGCTTTCCCTTGCTCCACCTCTTTAATGTAGCCCCATTCTCTCCAGGCCAATGTTTCCCTTTCTTGACTTAATACTCACTGGTGTAGCAGAATCAGCAATATCTTTCTTTTCCTACTGTGTATACCCCCTCACACTTTTAACAACACTTCTTTCTCAAAATGTTGCACCGCTTATTATTTTCCATTATTTCACTCCCTGTGTACTTTCTTATTCTTGAACGGTATCAAAAACAGTGATGATTTTAAATTCTGTGTTATCCCAACTTCTACTGTAGCATAGTATTGAAAAGCAGCAGCTTCTTAGACAACCATCAATTTTTATTCCTTGAAGGACTCCTCAAATATTTTCAAAAAAGTATTAGGTTTTGCCATTTAAATTGGAAGCTGACAATTCAGGGCCTAATGAAAGTTCACATCTTTTGCTCAGTAAGCATCAATGAACTGGCTAGATGGAATCCCATTTTAAATGACACCGGTGAAGTCTGCATCTATCTAATGTACTAGGCTTGCTAAATATTATTGCTTCAGTTCACACTACTCTCAGTTCTATAAAGAAACATTATAACAAGTATTTCCAAACTCTTTCTGCTAGATGAATAGCCCTGGGCTTCCAGACGGTCGCTGTTCTCCCAGGTTGGCTCCATTAGGACCTGAAACTGATATGAGGTGAGATGAAAAATGGGAGAATGTGGCTGGATGCAGAAAGCCCTAGCAGCACACAAGCAGGCAGGACCACGGCTGGTGTGGCTTATTTAAAAGCTTTCCTCAAAGGCTGGTCAATGAAGTTTACTGCAAGCGAAGCTCCTGGTTTGAAACAAGTAAGTAGATGTGTTCTCCTTACCTCTGCACATAGCTTCCAACTCCTGAGCTTCTCTTTCAGCCTCCCTGATTTCCTGAAATGCAGCTGCAATGGGGGACAGGTCAGCACATCTTCTCCTCAGGGTTCTCTGCTCAAAGTCATTTACAGAGTCAGCATTTAAGAGATGAGTGACCTGCTGGTATTCCTTGCTTAGAGTCTCCAGGTACTTCTGCACAGCCTCATGCTTCCACAGAGCTCGAGAATCCCGATGGTTTTTCCTATGGTGACTGGTAAAAGACAGAGTGAATCCAGCAGTGTCCAGGAAAGATTTTGGCCTCCAAAATCCACAGTTGTGCAGTCCCACCACATAACCTATCCTCTTTGCAACAGGAGGGAGGAGACAGCTGTGAAGTTGATGGTGATGGTAGCAACTGGCAAGGAGGCTCTTGAACAGACAGACACTTCGGAAGGGTTTCATTTTGTTTCTTATTTTTCCACCACCTGAAATCAAAACTAGACAGGACACGGACCACTTCTGTTATCTAGAAAAACAGAGCATTCTATTAAAAAACTATTCCTGTTTTAGTCCTGGTTTAAGCCAGAAACCCTTATGAGCACCATTACACTGACTGAGGGTTGGAAAGGGCTCTTCCCTCACCTCCTCAAACAGTTTATTTATGCTGTGGAAAAGATACGGTAGATGCAGCTTTACAGACAACAGCTTCATTTTGCCATGCATCTCATTGGAAAAATCCAACCATTTCATGCCTCACCAGTGAAAGAAAAACGTTGCTCAGAGGTGCAGAATTATATATATTATATTATATTATA